GTACTATTTCTTTCCACACATCTATGGTAAAAAAGGGCTTACTGCATTCGCGAAATGCGCTCGTTGCGTGCAGTAATATCCCCTCCTTCTCTCCCTGTACCCCACCTCCATCTAATCAGATAGCGTCCAAATAGGTCTCAGATCATCTGAGGGATTGGTTATCGAATACCCGTATTCTACGCGCAGCAGTTTGAACCAAGGTCGGCATGACTAATGATTAAGAGAGGGAATCTAGCATGGAACACAAAGTGAGTGAGTCACGCTCGGAGGAGACCAAGGCTAATAGAGCTCCTTTCCCTGGAAAGGACATCCCCACCGACTCGAGGGTGGCAGCAGTGCCTTACACCTAACCATACTTGAAGCATCTCCAACTCCGCCTTCGGCCTTCTGCAACAGGTGATACAGCAAATTTTGCGTTATTTTCCCCCTCGCTTTTACTACCCGTACTTTCATCGTGTCTAAATGTTCAGTCCCTGAGCCACCCAAAAATTCTAAACACGTCCCCTCACTTCCACTATAGCAAATACTATCCCCTGTAGGATTATTCTCGAACAGCGCATACTGACTCAAAAACTGACTTCCACGTGGTGCAATTTCTTGTACCGTTGGACCAGGCCGATTAAAAACCTTGTGACATCAGAAGCACAACCTGTACAGCCTCTAGCCCATTGTTATGACTTCTTGAGGAAAGCTCTGTACGGAAAGGACGAGATCGCTTTAGCGTTTCTTCAGATAAAGATACTCGCTTGGTTCACTCGGTGCTCGTAGTAGGAGGCGGCGTCGTTACAGGCGCTTTTTCGGGGATTCTGCTGGACGACAAGTGATGTAGTTCCAGTGCAACAGCACCTCCATGGAAATCACGATTTTCCAGTCCAGTGGTCCTGAAACGATAACGCCGTTATACCGTGTTCAAAACAACTGCACAAGAGGTTCTATATAATAGTGAAAGAACATTAACAACTGGTATAATGGGATGGAATTGGTGCTGACAACTCTGAAGTATTCCCATTTTCCTCATTCATTCTGCCCAAGCAGCACTTACTTCGAGTTAGAATAAAGGGGCAGGAGTAAAAATTAGTTACGCCAAAGTGCTTCCTGTATGCGGCTGGCACGACAAATTGGATGCTGAAGAAGCGGGGACATGCCTACTGTTGAGAGAGGCTAGTCCCTCAAAGGCAGGTGGCACGATAAATTATGTGCTGATGAAGGGTAAATATGACTACAATAAGAAATTTCTGCGCCACCAATAAAAGTGCTCGAAGTGACCCGACAACACACCTCTCGGCACTTCCGATGCACCGTCTCTCGCCGTTGCACTCGAGACGTTTCAGCATAGAGGTGAGATCCCGTCCAAAGCGGAAATAAACGGTTAGAGCAAAAGGTCTCGCTTTTCAGTTGGGGCCGCTTTCCTTACCTCCTTCCTTCGCCATTGCACTCACACTACCTCTACCATCATTTTCATCGGTGGTCAACCTTCGTGATATCCGCCTTCAAGGAACTGGGGCACGGCGCTTTCGCGGTGGACAGCGCGCCTATAGCGCAGCAAAGCAAGGCTCGGGCTTTAGAAAAAAGCAAAACAAGTACACTGTAGTAAACTCAACTGCTCAAATTTTGATACAGTTCTATTGAGACAGATTCTGCAGATTGCTCCTCCACGCTTTTCTAAGTTGTAGAAATGTTGCGATGGGAAATCAGTTTTAAGCCACTTGTGCTTAAAGGCACGCTCCACGATTAGGCGCGCTTGCCTCTTCCATCCCGGGGTAGTAGGCAGGCGGACAAGTGTTGTTGTCGCACCCCTTTTGCCGCTTGAAAGTGCGCGACAAAGGCACAAGCAGCTCGTCCGACCTGCAACTCACACCTTTGTCCGCAAGCCCCACCCTCCGCTGTCCGTTGCCACGTGGCGCTCTTACCAGGAAAGGTCATTAGGCCAACCCGGCCAAATGAAATGAGGTGCACATTTCTGTACGCAGCATGAGACGCTGAACTCAAATCTGCTTTCACTATCTGCTGAACTCTTCTCTGAAAGGAGTTACGGAGGGTTTTTGTTGCCGCCCTTGATTTTCAGTGTTTTACCTGCAATCACATGTTAGCCGCACTATGAAAGTATCGAAAGGAGAACCGAGGCACTGGTGTCGTGAGCCTCGGTAGCGCAGTTGGTAGCGGTCGTGTTTCTCACGGAGGGGGTCGGGGGTTCGGTCCCTCACGGGGTTTGTTGTTTTGCTTTTTTTCCAACATGGCTGAAAAGCCTTTTTGAATCTGTTATTTTACCAATGGTCGCCCGACGCTACATCTACGAAGAGTTTGCAAGCTGACCCTCTTAAACTTAAGCACTACTTGTCTGTGAAAGCCTATGGTGCCCGTAGTGCAGGTGCTATGCTTTTCCGTGGCAAGTAGGTATGATATTCGTATTCAGGGGATCAAACTACCCCTTACAGCGAGTTTTTCGCCAAATCTGAGGCGACGAACTAATTGAGAAAAGCGGGAACGGAATAGCGGGCAGTGATGGGATTACCACTCCTCAAACTCCACTTTTTTGGGTTGACCAATCATGGACGACGGGGGAAAGGGGAGAGAAGGTGTTGTATTAGGAAATAATGGTTTGTAGATCTTTGGATGATGCAGACGGGCAAGCCAGACACAATTTTCGTTTATTATGAAAAGTTTTTAAAAAATTTATTCTACCAAGTGCCAGCCTTTTGTAATGGATTGGTGGATCGGTGAGTAAGTGACTGCCCAAATTTTCGAGGTTAGGTCAAAATTTCAGAATTCGCTAGAAGTTCGCTCAAAGGGAGAGTCTGACTCCCTGATTACGAATATCATACTTGTTCGAAGCAAAAATGCCTGGCGCCTGCGCTACAAGCGCCCAAAGTGGTGAGGAGCGGTGCCGCCCAAGTTCATTATTAATTGCCCTCAAATTCTTTTTACTGTTAACTATACGCAAGCATGTCGGACTAGCAATGTTAGGAGTCTTCCTAGCTATCTTACTGCAAACGGCAAAAGAACAAACTCGCCAGGGAGTTGATCCCCTGACCTCTTTTTCGTGAGCCTCGACCACAGCCCCTGCGCTTTTCTGCTTCATAATTCCTTTCAGAGAAGAGTTCAGCAGATAAGGAACACATATTTGAGCTCAGCGTCCCAAGGCGCGTATACACATATACATCTCATTTCAAATGGCCGGGTTGACCAAATGACCTTTCCTGGTTAGCGCATTTGAGGCAGCGGTCCCACCGCGATCCTGTGTCAATGGCACTGGAGCAACTAGAGTCAGGCTCGCGAAACTCGTCCAACGCGCCTTTTCTCTATCCCAAGGTGGAATGTTGCTGAAATAGGGGAGGTTTCTGTACGGGGCGTAATCTGTGATTTCGTTTGCTTTCCTTCTCTTTTATAGACCACCTCCCACCTCTAGTATCATGACTGAACGCTTTTAGACACCTATTTTATCCCGAATCTTGCCTTTAGGATAAGATAGCTGAACAATGTGCGAAAAATACAGGACACAGGTAGAAATACGGCATTGGCGTGACGGGAAACGTTCTTAGATGTGCTACTTGCGCATTGCGATTTGCGACCACCGGTAAACGGCCAAAATGCAGCGTGGGGTACTGGTAAACTGTGTGGACACGAAGACGCTGTAGGCTTGAAGCGTGTTCTACTTTGCTAATCTGTATCTCTGGATTCTTCGAATTCACATCTATCGATCGATATCTGGTCGTGTAGGGGTGGGTGAAGCGCCCCTCCTCTTCCAATGCTTGGTCTATCAATTTCCACAACGTTATAAGAGTCTTCGCGTACATTTAGCGCCAGCATATAAGAAATCGGTGGCCAACCGACCCACATGGCACCAAGCTAAGTTAAAGGAGCATTCCACGATAAGGACGAGCGTTGAAGAAGAGGAACATAGCTAGTAGTGAGAAAGGCGACATCCTAAGGGTACGGACCTACACGCAATTCGAATCGAAGGATATTCCCCCGGCAATCTCGCATAGCCTTCCCGCTACGCAGTTGACGCACTGGCGCGGTACGCCCCCTTCGCCCTACGTGTCTGAGTCTCTTAGCCGTTCAGGCAGGGGGAGAGAGCGCGTTAAAAAGGACAGCATCGATGAAATTCGCATCAATGCGCAAATCAACGGGGAAGGAAGGGGTCCCATTTCTCGGGTTCTGGGCCGTTTCTAGGTTTTTCCTTCTTTCTTGCATTACTGACCATCTTGAACTTAATTTGTAATGGGCTGCCTTTTCATCGTGAAATCCGCCTTTAAGAAACTCAAAGTATGCTATGAAAAGAGGATTGGGCTCGGACGAATTTGCTGTACAACAGAAATGTAGAACTACGGAAGGAATGACAATAAAGGTCCTTCCCTCTGGATCCTCAAAATTTCACTTTTCCACGTCCACTTCCAACAACGATTTCTTTTTTCGATGTACGGTAGGTCTGTTGGCACTCAGCACCTTGTAAGAAAATCCGGGCGTAGGATTTCTGATTTCTGCCTGAGCCTCAAGGAAAGGAAGAAGCTTCTGACGGAATGCGAAAATTCCTATTTCAGCAAGAAAGTTTGCTCACCCGCCCCGAAGCACCTTTCTCTTCAACACCTCAACCTCTCGTTTATAAGTCTTCCTCGCCATCTCGTACTAAATGGCACACAGCCGCTTGGTACTAATTGGACGATGCGAAGCTGTACAAAATTCGGGTCAAATTAAAGAATATGAAGCAAGGAAGCTCGTAGCACTTGCGAACTTCTAGGAACTAACCAGTACCTCACCGATGGCACCATCCTTCTATCATCAGACAATGTAGACCAACAAGGAACTTTATTAACCTTCGATTTGGTGCGACCTCCATGCTGAACCTTACCTGAAACAGGGATTTTTTTATAAGGAGTAATTCGAATAGACTGGATTTGATTTCCAATCGCTCATTAAACTGGAAGAATGAGATACGCGAAAAAGGTTTATAAAAACCGGGGCAATATAGTGGGGTGGGCATGCAGTATTTTTTGAATACGGTAGGCGCAAAATGTATGTAAGTGGGACTGCTGCCCGCTACTATGGTGTCACGAGAATTGAGGAAATTCGTGAGCCAGGGGAGTGTAGCCAATCTAGGGGGTGAGGGCAGTCACTTGACATGCGTGAAAAGCTGGAATGTGAGTTACTTCATAGCGTCCGTCGTCATAGTAGCGGGCAGCAGTCCCCACTTACATACATTTTTCGTCTACCGTATTCAAAAAGTTGGACGTGCCCATCCAACTTGTATTGCACCGAAAAACTTAAGGTCCCGTCTATAGACAGCTGTTAAGCGATTCAGCGCATATGTGAAAGGAAATAATAGATATCGATTTGAAAAAACGACGATAATGCGAATTGTGCGATAAAGCGATTTAGCGATTATGCCCAAAGGACTCGGTGCATTTTGTTCGAATGGACCTCGCCCAATGACCGCTCATCGATGCAAAATGTCGACGACCCTTCAGTCACTACGTATCCATGCCTTCCAGCATAGTGGCTTAATAGCCAAATCGCTTAATCGCTAAATCGCATTAATCGCGATCTATGAACGGGGCCTAATTCCGACCAGGCACATCAGCAGAGCAGGCAGTAGCGGTGAAGCAAAGGCTGATTAGTTATTACTATTGCCTCCAACCTCAGTTCGGAAATGAAAGAGGTCAGAGAATAGTGGTGAGATGAGTGGATCCACATAGTTCACTTACAAGTACCAAAGAAAAACGGTAATTATCCAGTAGAAGGAGACAAGTGCGAAACGAACATCGCAACACGGGTTCAGATCGATCAACCGGCAGGAGAGGGAGGTGTATGGTTGGCCCGGGGCCGAAGTCCACTTAACTGCATTGACTTATTGTGATCATTATTTATGACCGGGTCACCACACACATAATCGAACAAGAACATTGTTTTGTGAAATTTCGAAGCTTTACGTCATCATGACCATTATGATCCTTCCTTCTGGGGCCGTATCCTATAATTCCCCAGGCTAGGGGAACGAATAGTCCCTACAAATTACGATGGGGACACGCCCGTATTTTCGGGTTACGGTAGGCGCGAAATGTACGCGGGGCTATGATCTAACGAGACGCTGTGGGAATCGATAATCACTGCTTCTTTGTTTTTTTTTCTACTTTTGATGGTATTTCCTGCTGGATCGTTCAGATACACACTATTGATCGATGGACTAAGCCTTTGGAGAAGGGAGAAGCTCCCTTCCTAAGGCTTAGTCCATCGATTATCGTTAGGTCATGGCACTGGGCTGCGGTCTCCACGTACATTTCGCGCCTACCGTAACCCGAAATTACGGGAACCAGGCCATGCATTGTATGGCCACCAAATAATCCCTTCAAATTTTCTTGTCTTCCATACAAAAATCGCCCTATGAAAGTGCATAATTGTAATGTATAATGTGTGTTAAAGCATGCATGTGCGGAAAGTAAGGGAACTGTGTCGTTGAAAACAAATAAATTAAAGGACTCTTTTGCCCCTTAGCCTGGAGGAAGGATGGGATACGACCCCTGGTCTCCCATTTTATTGTTGCTTTTGTAGCTCTGCTGACGCATGGAATTATAATAGCTCAATTATACTGGTTACACAAACATTCAAAAGGGTCAGAAGCAGCGCCTTTTAAAAGTTCCGATTGCCATGAAAAGTTGAGATGTTTGAAAATTGTGAGTTGCGCAGTGCATTCGCTTTCCTTTGGAACTGCCAATTCATTTGAATGCGCCTTTGGTTGATACAACGACTCACAAAGGGCAAATGGTATACAGGTTGGTGCATTTAGCCTCACTAGTTTTCTAGTAACTCAAGGTCTACTCGCAAAGTCGATAGTTACGTTGTCCAGTTATTAGGAGCAAGACTAGTCTGAGGGGTGGGGACGGTACTTGACTTCTGAATACGCTAAGCGTGAAATATATGAAGCGTTTACAGTGACTGTTATGACATTCGTCTCCTCACTTTCCTATTTCTATTAGGCTCATTTCCGGTTCGATTCGAGGCCATTTGACAGACTTCAACTCTGCCCAAGAATACCCCCCAAAATGACAATCGAAATGTAACTGAAAGAACGGGGAGGTAAATATACTCGATATCGGTGAGTTGGGGTAGGCGTGTCACCGGAAGTGACGTGCACTTGATAGAAACTATGTGGATAAGCTGCTTCCAACATACATGGCTATCAGCAAAGCATGCTGGCAACAGCTTATCCACGCACTTCTATCAAGTGCACGTCACTTCCGGTGACACACCTACCCCAACTTTCGGATATCGACTGTATGTCCGCCAAAATGGCAAATCCTCTGATTTGCCTATTTCATCAACTTTTGTAAACGTTTCACTAAAATCTTGAAAAATGGTTAAAGATAACCCTACCTTTCCCTGCGCTACAATGCTACCCATCTAAATATCTCACATACGCCACCCTTGTAACTATCACCAACACACAGAACCTAGAACATGACCCCTGCCAGTACGACCCCCACCTCCAAGCTCAAATGCGACCCCCCGTTGAACATGGTACAAGGACGACTGACCTTTTGTGGGGCCGTATTCTGAGTTTTGCGCGCATGGTTGGAGGACGGAGGGAGCACTTACACGGCGTTCACTATAATCAAACACGCACAGGAGTGAAGCCACAGAAGAGTGGCGGAATTCTATGGATATTATTTATGGAAGAGAAAGGAGGGGATGGGTTCCGCTGATTCCACAAGTTTTTCTAACTTCCACCGCCTCCATACAAACAATGACTTTTGATGAAAGAAATCAATAAGCAAACTATCAAAAGCCCATTGATTAGGAAAATGATTACTGAACCGTGCTTGTAGCTCTTTTGTCGAGGATACTGATTTGGGGTTACCCAATATTTCAAAAGCTCGATACTCTTCCCACATGTAAGAAACTCGGATCTACAGGGGTGGGGGAGGCAAAAAAAGTCACCTCGCCCATGAGGCGCACCACCAGTTTCTGTCGCGCAATGTGCCGCAATGTTGATGGACGTTTCAAGGCAAAACCTTCTTTACACGTCCCTCCATAAGCAGAAGCAAGACCACCTCCTCTGTCTTCACTGTCCTCAAAAAAGGACCTGTTCTCCTTCTGTTTGATATGTTTTTTATTTTTCTCTTTTTTTTTTTTTTTTTTTTTTTTTTTTTTTTTTTTTTTTTTTTTTTTTTTTTTTTTTTTTTTTTTTTTTTTTTTTTTTTTTTTTTTTTTTTTTTTTTTTTTTTTTTTTTTTTTTTTTTTTTTTTTTTTTTTTTTTTTTTTTTTTTTTTTTTTTTTTTTTTTTTTTTTTTTTTTTTTTTTTTTTTTTTTTTTTTTTTTTTTTTTTTTTTTTTTTTTTTTTTTTTTTTTTTTTTTTTTTTTTTTTTTTTTTTTTTTTTTTTTTTTTTTTTTTTTTTTTTTTTTTTTTTTTTTTTTTTTTTTTTTTTTTTTTTTTTTTTTTTTTTTTTTTTTTTTTTTTTTTTTTTTTTTTTTTTTTTTTTTTTTTTTTTTTTTTTTTTTTTTTTTTTTTTTTTTTTTTTTTTTTTTCTTTTTTTTTTTTTTTTTTTTTTTTTTTTTTTTTTTTTATTTTAATATAATTTAAGAATCCACAAACAACTCGCTTGAGCTTCACCGCGTGCATCAGCTCTCAAAAGAATTCTCCGATGGCGTTGAGGTAGAAGGCCCTTTTCTATTGTAGTGCGCCCTCCAATATCCAGTTGGGGATATGGCTCGAGTTTAGCAAAGTGTAATTAATTTGTGTTCAACCAGTTTCAAAGTGTTTAGCGGGAAGCTGACTCCATCTACCCCCCGCCGTCCGTCTGTGAGGGCCGTATAGGCAATCTTCCTAGTCAGACAATTCCAAGACAGCCTACTTTTTCCCAGCCAGATCTCTGGAAAATAATGGCTAGCTATTTAAAGGCACGCTCCACGATTAGGCGCGCGCTTGCCTCTTCCATCCCGGGGTAGTAGGCAGGCGGACAAGTGTTGTTGTCGCACCCCTTTTGCCGCTTGAAAGTGCGCGCGACAAAGGCACAAGCAGCTCGTCCGACCTGCAACTCACACCTTCGTCCGCAAGCCCCACCCTCCGCTGTCCGTTGCCACGTGGCGCTGCTTGAAAAGCGCGGGCGCATTTGAGGCAGCGGTCCCACCGCGACCCTGTGTCAATGGCACTGGAGCAACTAGAGTCAGGCTCGCGAAACTCGTCCAACGCGCCTTTTCTCTATCCCAAGGTGGAATGTTGCTGAAATAGGGGAGGTTTCTGTACGGGGCGTAATCTGTGATTTCGTTTGCTTTCCTTCTCTTTTATAGACCACCTCCCACCTCTAGTATCATGACTGAACGCTTTTAGACACCTATTTTATCCGAATCTGCTTTAAGGAAATGTTTGTGTGTAGCGCAAAATATACTGGGAGAAAAAACCTATTCAAAAAAGAAATTGAGGGAATTCCTTCTCTTTCCAAGTAGCCCACCGACACACTTGAGAAGCACAAGACAAAAAAATCGCGCCAGGACCAAATTTCGGCTCTTGCACCGATCGATACTTTCTAGGGAGTCATCGAGTAAAAGCAAAAAAAAGTCTGTTGAAACGTAGTCATAATGTCCTACACAAAAAGCGAAGATAAGACAAGCTGCTCTTTTGGAGGTTGGAAATCGGTTAATAATCGTTTGGAAAGCTGACTTTTCAATATCCTCGTACCAAATTGACCAAAAACTGACCGTATTGTACCAATCAATACTGCTCAATATCGATTGATAATCGGTAATAAAACTGTTCCAGCCGTACAGAACACGACAAGAGTTGAACCCTTTATGAACAAATACTCACATAAGAGCTAGATAATATATGCATCACGTGAAATAAATAAAAGTAAGAGGACGAGAAACTGAATGACTGGTTTGTATTTACGAGTGAGGCGGATAGTTTTGCGGATCCCAAGCGTTCCAGGTGGTCGCATCTCGGGAAGCATCTTGTTGCGGTCGCCAATCCTGAGTGGCGTAGTCCGCAGCACCGGGAGGGACATAGGCAGGACCGGGTTCTGTGGAGGTCGGAATCCACGACTTCCTCGTCCCCGGTGAGGATGTGATGCGTGGCGACGACGAATTCGAACTGATCGTTGAACGGGTTGAGGAACTTGTACGCCGAGATACTACACGGTCGATAGTCGTTCGCCGATCGAATACGGCAGTTTAGTCGCATTGGTTGATCACGTCTGCAATTGCACAACACTTTATATTACAGCACATTCATGGGACACAATGTTGCTCCATGTATTGAATGATTAGAATAGAAGAAGCGCAAAAAATCTTTGGTTCCGGTTTTGACGACCAGAGACGCGAGTGGCAGCGCTGAGGCAGCCCGAATACCGCGGACGCATCGCGGCCGCACGCGTCTATGACCAGCTTTCACACAATCACAGCTGTCAATCAAAAAATGGGTTCAAGTAAGCGCACTTCTGAGGTAATACTTAGGAATTTGTTAGAGTTTAAGATAATTTGAATTGATGCTTACGTCATCATGGCCATGAACGATTCGTGCAAAGATTGCTCATCGGATGGATGTACCACTTGCCACCAAAATCGCCCAACAAGTTGATCAGGGGTAAGACCGAGTAGTTGAGAGACCCGAGCATCGACGAAGGTCATTTTACCGTCGTCGGCAATTCGCATTGAAATCCTCGTCAACTCGGCTGGATCACATAATGGCATGGAGGCTACCTGCAAAATTTTTCACTCGATGTAAAAATAATAACTTCAAGCGCGAAATGAGTTACGTTCAGTGCGTGGCGTTTGTAGCCATAAAATCCTCATACAAAATGCCTGGCGAGGCCACTAATTGGTGTCAGGCCATTTCTTCAGCTTGTTTCACATCACTCTACCTCCACTTGAGGCGGAATGGTGAGGGGGGGGGTATTCAAGCCAGAGCTTTCAAAGTACGGTTGGTGGGGTCACAGTTCGTCAGGACTACGCCTAGAAGAGGGAGAACGCCGGGGAAGCAAGTCTATTCACGTCCTTCCCCAAAGTCCCTTCCCATCATAAGGCTTTGTCCCAAGACTAATAAGTGGTTCACTTATAAGGAGTAGAGATTACGATAGGGTTTGTTTGTTGTGCTTGTAGTGGAAGTGAAGATGCTGAATAATGCCCTAGTAGCGAAAAAAGCAAAGAAATCCGTCAAAAACGCGCAAAATGGGACCACTTCCTGCCCGTTGACCTCCGATAATGGACGAGTTGGCAACCAACTAAGAGGTCGTCGGCACTCGTTAAACCATAGCTGCCATCATACCACCAGAGATCATACCTTGATTGATATAGCATTCCATGAGAAAAATTGGATACGCGCTCGAAGTGGCATACCTTATCAAAATGATAATCGAACAGTGATCTGCTGAGGGGCGGAGCACAGGCCGTGGCGGAGCTCAGAAAGGATTGGCAGCCCCAGGGCGCTGCAACGAGCGCACCTTTAGTCACGAAAAAGGCCACATCTCGATTCCTTTGGGCTCTGGCTACTGCTTGAAGTGGTGCTCGTTCTTCCATGCTGCAGAGACTTTATCGTAATCTTCTCGCTTTAACTCAGTGTCCTCATCCTTACAATATGAGGCGCCGTTTTCTCTTACAATCGCCTGCCTTCACAGATTTTGTACGCGGGGATACAAACACCTAGAATATACTCGGATAGCACCACGATATTACGCAACAAACCGAAACTTATTCGTAGATTGCTACAACGATGCTGAATCGAAGGCAAATGCACGGCGTGTTTTTTGTCAAGAACTACCTGTCAAAAGGCTTAATCAAAAACTGGTACCCAAATTTTCAAGGGGGAATGAAAGCACCGGAATGCATAATTAATCCCCCAGACAATTCTCATCGTCAGTCCCTCCACACCAGTTTCCGAAAATTCGATGAAAATCAATACAGCGCTCCCTCTCCGCAAAGCGCTAGACAGCAGGAGCAATTATTCGATTGAAAAGATTATTTTAATTATCGGGTCCAATTTTTCATTGTTCAGGTCTGAGGTGAGGACGCAATACACGTATCTTGTGCGTGCGGTCGCGGAGCGGTCAATGCTTTCACGCAATGCTCGAATGACCTAACCGTTTTTACCGCAAGCTCAACATGTGCAATCCGAAACATGCATATAAAGCCGATGAGGTCCTACTTCATCTCCATCTTATTGTTATTGCGCGACTGACAGACTAGCGACACGACACATTTTTCAAATGGAGACTATTTGTGAAACTGACAGCGAAAGCTGAGCCTAAGAAAATTATGACATCTACGGTTATTTTAAGATAACAGTACATGGTTAAGGTATTTCCGATCATTTATGTACCTGTAGTCGAGCAATGGCCACTAGACATGATGAAGAAGGTGCATCAATACCAGTAGGCGGAGTGTTCTTTATATAACCGGTACAATGCATAACCACATAATTATGCCCTGAAAAACAGAGTCAAGTTTTTTGATGCAAATAATCTGACCATTTACTCAATTCTCTTCACAACTTATAGAAATTGGTCTGTGACGCGCGCGGACGCGGAGCGTCACGTACAATCGATCGATGCGCGGTAAAGGACTGCACATCGATCCAGCGGCCCTTACTCTATAATCGCTCTGCATGTCACAACTATCTGACCCACACAAACAATTGGTCATTCTGATTTGATATTTTACTTATATATTATTCCCATGACCATTTACATATTTACTTTTATTATTGCAAGTAGGTATAATCAACCATTTACCTCCATGTTGGAAAAGCGGTCGTCGATTCCGTAACCGATGAAGCGGCTCCAACGGACCAAGTCGCATTCGACAGATGAAACCTCTTCGGCATGTCATGTGAACACGCGATGCTGCCCCCTCTCGTTTCACGGTACCTAAGAAAATAATCGATAAATACCATTCAAATTACATTTTAATACCTATGACAATCCACCGAATCAAATAGGATAACTTAATGAGCAAAAGGAATAGCTACGAGTTTGTCGTGAATTGATCCAATGATCGTACGCATGGAAGCGGTGCATTACTCCAATCAGTGATGGTTAATGATGATTAATAAATTTTTTATTAATTATCACTGATTATTTTCAATCAAATTTACTTTGAATTTTATTTTTAATTTTCATTAGTTATCATTAATTACCTGTTTTCAAATCTAGCACTTTATTGATTGCCACTTCACTTCCACACAGTTGATCCCGAATTTTATCCTGATCATCTGGATGTATCAACTCGTTAATTGTGTGGTTCATCCAGTCCTCCTAAAATGCAATAATTTTTTTAACTATCATTTTTTTGCCTAAATTTATTCTCTAATGCAGTAGGTCTATTTAACTTCTTAGTGCTATAGGACCCT